GGAACTAGTTTTGTGGAAACGGTGAGGTAGAAGATCTAACTCACTTTCACAGATCCAGTGTCCTAAAGCACTGCTTATTAAATAACCCATCATTCCCCCCCTAAATACTCCTTTTATCCCTAAATTCCCAAATACCTGGGGTCTGTGCACGTCCCACCAGTCCATGAGCCTGCTCCCACTCCAAGGTCACACGCGTGTCCTTTGGGGAGCCCCGAAGGACAAGTGCCCGCCCCCGCACGGCCACCCCACGCACCCCGATTCATCAGGACTCAGATCTCTTTGTCTTCGCACACATTTACTCTTCCAAATGCACTTTAGAACCTGTCGTATTCCAAAAAGCACCCCACATCACGGGAATAGCATGAACGTACGGGCTGTGTGGAGAGAGCAGAGTCTGTCCAGGAAAATAAAGTGTGTTCATTTGGGTCAACTTACAGAATGCGGCCAACGGGTCTTCCGCTGACGCGCTTAGATTTTATAGGTCGGCCCTTCTATCGTCTACAAAGAACGACAACTGCGACTTTCTCTTCTCCGTCCTCCGCCCGCTGCCGGGCCAGCAGTGCCAGGACTTCCCTAAACAACACTGAGCCCTCGGCCAGTTTAGTTTCTGGCGTGAACCGGAACGCCTGTGGGGCTGGGCTCTTTAGAACGCCATCTCCTGTTGGTTCTGAGAGAGACCTTTACCTAGATGAGCATGTCTCTTTCTAATCTTAAAGAGTTTTAATAAGGGATAGCTTGTAAATTTTGCCAAATGTCGTTTCAGCGTCTATAGAGACTATCACAGCATGTTCTCTGTTCATCGAAGCTGAGATGAAGGCCGGTGAGCAGCCACAGGGCCTCAGTCACTCACATGTCCCTGGTCCCTGGTCCCTGTGCCAGGACCGGGTTCTTCCAGAGATGCGGGGGCAGGCTGCGAGGCCTCCGCTCGCCCAGGCACAGGGCATCTTGGGGGCCGGGCTACACGCCCCCACGGCTGGAAGGGGCTGGAAGGGGCTGGAAGGGGCTCGCGGGGACCGTGGTGTGCAGAGGACA